CAAACATTTCGATCATGGATTACAAAAAATTCGATCATGGATTACAAAAAATTCTATCATAGGGTTACAAAAAAAAAAAAACAAAAAATTCGATCGTGGATTACAAAAAAAAAAAACAATTAGATCATGGATTACAAAAAAATCGATCAAGTATTACAAAAAACTCTATCATGGATTCAAAAAAAAAAAAAATCCGTACGGGACGCCGATTCACTGTACGGCTCACCGATTCCGTACAGTGAATGGGCGAGTCACTGTACAGAATCGTCCGGTTCTCTCTAGAACCGGACGATTCCCGTTTTTTTCGCCAATTCGATCCGTCCATGGCGATTTCCGAGTCGAACAGGGCGAGTCCGGTTCGACTCGGCATTTTTTTAAACACTGGTTGAGGTGCATTTTTCGTAACTTCTGTCTCATTCTGTCTCAACAACAACAAAAAAAAAAAAATTAATGAGGGTGAAATTGGGTGGCTACTATTATTCCATTGACTAAACTTAAACTTCAAAAGAAAATTTATTGAACTTTATGGCACATCCAAGCTATCAAATTTTATATCGGATGGTTGTAAGCAATGTGCGTAAAATCGAACAGGAACGGTTAACTGGAGATAGGCCTGGCAGCGGTTTAACTGGCCTAATCGGTAAACCGGCCGATTCAACCGCTCTAACCAAGCAAGTTCCGGGCGGTCAAAAAAGTGTTGAATTTTTTTTTATTTTTTAAAAAAGGTATATAAAAAGTGATTAAAACAAAACACATTCAAATGAATTTGAAAATTAATGAAGAAATGGATTTTAACCCATTTTATATATTTTAAGGGTTATTTTTAAAATTTTATAAAAAAAAGAGAAATATAAAAGTGAGTATTAATTACCAAAACAATTTTTAATATTTACCATAATGTAAAGAATATTTAAAAATGCATTACGAATCAAATTCCAAAATTTTGAGAATTTATATACATTTTTTTGATTTTTTTTTTCAAATACAGGTTGATTACCCTAACCGTCCAAAACCGGAAAAGGCCACCGATCTAACCGGGCGGTTAGGACGAGCGATTTTACGAACAATGGTTGTAAGCAATTGTGGTCACCTTCTACCAAAGGTAAATGATCTCATTGTATACAATCCAAAAAAATTACAAGGGTTATGTTTCTCTCTCGTATGAAAACCATTGTTTGACAACCCGACTGGCTTAAACTGGAATGGGCCGGGTTACTCAAAATCGGCTACTAGCCGTGGCTGGTTTTGGCCTGTTAAGATGGTCAACCGACTTGACTATCTTAATTTAATTAATATATATATATAAACTAAGAAATTTATTAGTATTAGATTTATCAATATCGTCTATAATTTTGAAAAAGATTAAGAGATATTTTGGCTATAAATACTTATTTTTACAATTTTTCCATTTTTTTCATATTATTTCTAAAACACTCTTGGGCACAAATTAATTTTTCAAAATCTATTTTCACTATATTTGCAATCTTATATAGATGTATTTTATTTAAGAGTAATGATCCTATAGGACTCTCCCCTACCATGTGTATAGGACCCTAAATGATCACTATTAAAGTTGGTAGGGATCTCTAAAAAAATTATCACAAGGGCGTGAGACTTGATTTTTTTTAAAATTTATACCAACTTTAATGGTGATCATTTAAGGGTCTTATACACATAAGTGGGAAAGGGTCCTATAAAATAATTTCTCTTTTTTTAATTACACATAAAATTTTCATTTTTTTTAAAAATAAAATTTTTTTTAAACTTTTTCTAGCCCGATTGGGACTTGCACGATTAGGGCCGATTACTCGGACGGGTTCCGGGTTACTTGGACCCGGCCAAACGCCGGTTCGTGCAGTCGAATAGTGAACACTGATGAAAAGCGGATGAAAACCCATCGCATCTCTCTCCTGTCACTTATTCCAGTCCAGATCTATGCCTGTAGTTTCTCTCACGTCCTTTCTCACATATATATCTATATATATATATATATATATATATATAATCTCTTTCTTATCGAATAGAAGTGTATACAAAATTCACATCGTGTCCTGTGAATATCGACTCAGTTCACAACCATCTCTGGCAGGTTTTCTCTCTCATCAAACACCCCTGTCTCTCCTAAAATTTTCATCTGCTTAGTAGTGCCTTTCTGATAAAACCCATCTCGGATTCTCATCTGTACCCACAATTTCTCTCTTGAAATCTAGCACTTGTCCGATACAAAGCATCTCCCCTTCTCATCCACGCAGTGATTCTCTTTCTAATTCACTTAACCAGTCTATCTCTCATAAGGTCAAATCCTCATCAACACACAAAACCCATCTCATAGTTGTAAAATATCCCTTTAAATCCGCGATCTGACAGGTCTTCCATTGATTCAGAAAGCCCAGTCCATGCATCTTTTGCTCTATATCTCGCCCTACTTTAAATCCCCATTTATGCACAAAACCCATATCCAAATTCGTGCAGAAAACCCACTTGAATCCATGAACTAACTGGCTGTCCGTTGATTCCAAGCGGGTCTGGTTCATAAACCCCGCTATGGTTCCGGCAATTGTTGATTCGCTTCTTCAGAGGTCATTGGAGGATTTGATCAAAGGCCTTAGAATCCAAATGATTGGCGAAACCCAGTACCTGAATAAAGCCATGGAAGATATTAGGAAGGAAATCAAATCAACTGATCACCAGATGAAAGCCATTGCCTTGCAAAAGCTCACATATCTCAACATGCTTCATGGTTTCGACATGAATTGGGCATCCTTCCATGTCGTAGAGGTAATGAGTATGCCTAGATTTTTCCATAAAAAGATTGGTTATCTTGCTGCTTGTCAAAGCTTCTCTGAGCAAACTGAGGTTTTATTACTAATAACCAATCAGTTGAAAAAGGATTTAGGGGGCACTAATGAATATGAAGTAGGCCTAGCTTTGAATTGCTTATCTGTTATTGCTACATGTGATCTTGCTAGAGATTTAACCCCTGATATTTTCACTTTACTTGGTAGTAGTAAGATTTATGTGAAAAAGAAGGCCATTTCTGTGGTTTTGAGGATTTTTAAGAAGTACCCAGATGCTGTTAGGGTTGCATTTAAGCGTTTAGTGGAGAATTTAGAGCGCTCAGATGTTCAAACCAGTTCGGCAGTTATTGGGGTGTTTTGTGAATTAACAATGGATGACCCAGTTTCATATCTTCCTTTAGCTCCAGAGTTTTATCGATTATTGGTTGATTCAAAGAATAACTGGGTATTGATTAAGGTTTTGAAGATTTTTGCTGTTTTGGCACCTCTAGAACCTCGATTAGCTAAGAGGATTGTAGAACAAGTATCCGATCTTATGAGGAAAACAATGGCTAAGTCACTTCTTTTGGAATGTATCAGAACAGTGGTTTCGGGCCTTTCAGATTACAAGTCAGCAGTTCAACTCTCGGCAGAAAAAATCAGGGACTTTCTTGTGGAGGATGATCCAAATTTGAAGTATTTGGGTTTACAGGTTCTTTCCACTCTAATGCCCAATCACTTATGGGCAGTTCTTGAAAACAAGGAGCTCATTGTTAAGTCTCTGGATGATGAGGATCCAAGCATTCGGTTGGTGGCCCTGAATCTTGTGATGGGCATGGTATCAGAGGAGAATTTGGTAGAGTTTTCACAGGTTTTGGTCCATTATGCACTTAAGTCCGAACCAGAATTCTCTAACAAAATATTGGGTTCTGTTCTTTCCACTTGTAGTAGGAACCTTTATCAATTGGTTTCAGATTTTGACTGGTATGTTGCACTTTTAGGTGATATATCGAGAAACCCACATTGTCGACATGGCCAAGAAATTGAAAGGCAGCTTATAGACATCGCTCTGAGGGTAGAAGATGCTAGAGCAGAGCTTGTACGAGTTTCTCGTGATCTATTGATCAACCCTGCACTTCTTGGGAACCAATTTTTGCACAGGGTTCTCTCTGCTGCTGCTTGGATTTGTGGGGAGTTTTCTGAGTTTTTGAAGGACCCTTTTGAGATTATGGAGGCTTTGATTCAACCTCGCACTGTTCTTTTGCCACCATTGTCTAGAGCTGTTTATATCCAATCAGCACTTAAAGTTTTAGTATTTTGCTTTCATGGGTATATGAATAAAAAAGAAAACATGCTCTGTGATCTACATAGTGGTAGCCGTGGAAGCCAGAGGATAGTGGGTGAAGATTTGAGCTTACAAGTGGGTAATGGTGGTTTAGAGGTATCAGAAACTGATGGGAAATCATGCTCGGCAGCTGAAGGTTCTGAATCGGTAGGAGGCGAAATTCTAGCAGATTTTGATGAAATAGAGGCCCTTAGAGATGACGGGCTTATCTTCAAGAAGGAATCTCTTCTTCATCTGGTTAATCTCATCAAGATGGCTATTGGTCCATTATTGGAGAGTGATGACGTGGAGCTGCTTGAGAGGGCACGTAATTTACTTGGTCTGGTTGATTTGCTTGAAGATAGTCCTGGGTTTCTTGCGGTGAACGAAGGGGAAGAAAATGCAAACTCAGTTCCTGAATCTTCAGAAATTATCGAACTGATGCATGGTGTCTTCTTAGAGGAGCTCACTCCAGTTTCTGTGCATGCCCAGGAAAGAGTTCAGGCACCTGATGGTCTCACTCTCCCTCAAAACCTTTCTGAATTGGCTGCTATTATAGGCGAGGACCCTCTTTCTCCAAGTGGGGTTTCAATTGGGCCTCCACAAAGTGGTGAATGGGACAATATTTCCTTCCTTAATAAACAAAAGCAAGAACCTGAACCTTCAGGAGAGGGCAAGTCTTTGTTAGAGGAACATCGAAAAAGACATGGGTTATTTTATTTGTCTCCAAGTAAAGGTGAAACAGAATCTAATCTTGACTATCCATCTGCAAATGTTGTTGAGGCTCCTAATGATACCCCCAATGCTCCTAGTGATCTGGTGAGGCTTACAGAGAAAACCTTTGTTTCCAAAAAGCCAACTCGTGCAAAGCCAAGGCCAGTGGTGGTAAAGATAGATGATGGAGATGAGGTGGTTACCCAAACCGAGAAGCAAATGAAGGGATCAAAAGAAGACTTGCTTGCTGGTGTGATCAGAGATGTTCTTCTAAGTGGTAAAGGGGACCCCTCGAGCAGTTCATCCCATAGGAAAGAAAAAAATATCATGGATATGCATACACCCGAAGAAAATTCAGAGGCTATTGAGAAAAATAGGCATGGGTCTCCTAGTTCTAAGAGAACCAAGCACAAAAGTCATGGTAAAGGACGACATAAAAGTTCAGGGAAGAATGAGGACAATGAAAAACACAAGAATGGTCATCATCAAAATACAAAACATAGGAGCTGGCGAAGAGCAGAGAGTCCTAGAAAGGTGGATCCACAAGCCCAAGTCATTCCAGACTTTCTTTTGTAGCTTGTTTCAGCTTACTTGTTTCCTATCAGGTACGTGAATAATGACGTGCTTGTACTACACATTGATATTGTTTGTTTGCTTGTTGTTGGAAGGTGAATTCTCAATTTTATGGAGTGTACAGTTGTGTTCTTGGAAGGAATTTGTTTGTACGGTAAAATTGGGGAATTGAAACTCCTTATATATATATAAAAAAAAAAGTGAATCAAGTAACATAGCATTGCTTTTCTAGTTTTCTATGAAAACTTCATTTTTTTCTTTTATATGTGAGTTACTATTATTGATAAAACTCAAGTGCAAGTGAGAACATTGGATAAATACATTTAGTCGCATTGATTGGCGCATCCTGTTTATTGCAAATAAATATCAGGGAGCATGTAGACTGGGCCTTCTTGGACCTTTTGGACTGGATGGGCATGAGTTGGAAATATGATCTAGATCCCAGGGTAGAATATGCAAGTAGAACATCAGTATAAGAGAGAAGGAAAGGGAAGAGAAAGAAGAAGAAAGGAGGGAGAATTAGGGTATAAAATATGGATTAGTTCATTGTGTTAAACTAGTCACACTCTCACACTCGCACTTATATACTATTGACGTGGAAAAGTTACAAAATATATCCTTGGCTAAATGAAGAAATCCAAGCTATAACCTTATTAAATATCATATCCCATTTATGCCCCTACCTAGCCATTGCACTTCAACACTTCCCTCAAGCCAAAACATAGATATCGATCATGCCCTGGTTGCGTTGGCTGGGTATCACATGTTGACATGTGTTGGCACTTAGACACGTGTCGACATGCTGGCCATAGTATCTAATAATATTGAACTCAACAGAGGATATTACGTATCATATCTTTTTTGAAGTATAAACAACTCACCCTCGCACCCACGTGACCCCCCCCCCCCCTGCCCCCGCCACCGCCAAAAAACAAACACCCCTAAGTGACTTGAATGATGATAAATGACCTGACCAAAGTCACATGGGCTTTGACCTTTGAGTTATGAGGATGGCCATGGGGACTGTCAGCTGTGGGCCATGAATAAACTAATCACAATATTTCTATATTAAAAAAAACTTTTAGCCATCCTGCTGGATGGAACCTAAGACAAAGTGATGTGAAGATGACACTCTACTACGCGGGTCGTAAACCCTTACATGATAGTTAAGTGAGGATTTTTATATATGTGGTATTTTTTTGCCTTTTATTTGAATAATAAATAAAGATTACAAATTAGAGTTCCCTGCGACATGCATTCCACTCGTTACCTGGACTACAGCCTCCACCACGACCATTGAATTGGAAATTACGTCAGTTTATGGGCTGGTTGTAATTTAGTTCATTCCAAAAACACCGCAGAGTAGCTTAGTAATCTTCAACTGATAAATCTTCTTTTTTGAAGTTGTTGCTTTGCTGTCTCTCTCTCTCCAAAAAAGGAAGTTGTTGATTTGCTGCTCTAACTCATAGATTTTTGTGATACTCTTCTCCTTTGTGCATAGGCTTCAGCTATTGTATCCATAACTCTTTTGAAACTACACTTCATGAATATGTGACTCAAGTTTGACTGCATAGAACTCAAAGTCCTGTTCATAAATATCATTTCATTGGCTTCCTAATCTGCATAAAATGGCTTCTTACCTGGTTTCCCTATATGTCCTTCAATATAACCCAAATTTTCCTACCTGCAAGGAACAAGTGTACAGATCTCGTCCCGCAAGGAACAAATGTACAGATCTCGTCCACTTCAAAATGTTTGTGCCACCAGATTTTATAGTAGTGATTTGAAGATCAGGATAGTCCATATGTGGTGATTGCTTTTGCCTCGTTACTTCTTCAAGACGATAGATTAATCACCAAAAACAATGACAAACTGTTACTGAGATCTGGTTATACCTTCCGGTCTCCCTTTAGTCATAGATACTCTCTGTACACACAACTGTCTTAAACAGTGCATAAGGCTGCCAATTATACAATCCCAGTTGTGGGAGTTACTATTTGATCCACGTCAAATAGTTGTGACCAGAATAAAATATCTTAAGATTTATTTGAGATCACTCATAAAAAGGAAAGACCAAATATGTTTGACCAAATCTATGTAATTTGATCGATCATCGGATCATCCAAACCAGTGGATCAGGAAAACCTAAATATTGGCACCTGTCTCAAAACTCAGATCAGATAGGGAAAACCCCAAGACTTGGCATATATAAATAGATGTGGGTTTTCTCACCATTATCTTCAAAGGATGAGATCTATTGGGGTTACTCCTTCCCTCACATTATCAGGCTCTCAGGGCCATACAACTGCTGATATCAGCGATGTGACTAGAGTCTTTCTAATTGACTTCAATTTTTTCTTCAGATCTGGACCTTGCCCCTAATACCGAGTTGGGAAAATGATCTAGATCTAGGTTTGAATCTGTAAGTACAATCTGTTTATGAGAGAGAAGTAAAGAGAAGGAAAAGGAGAAGCGAAAAAGAAGAAGAATGGGGAGAGAATGTGTTAGAGAGAAATAGGATATAGAACTTGTGGCTAGTCTATTGTGTTAGACTAGTCACACATATATTATGGACATGGGAAAATTACAAAATATACCCTTCGTTTAAGTAAAACATCCAGACCGGTCTTTGGTGTCAATTAAAGAATACACCTTTTTCTTCTATTTAAATTTATTTGAAAAGTTCCTCTTAAGGATTCTGTCGAAGCTCCTGAGATCTTAGGTAGGTAGTTCATAGTCAAAGCAATCAGCTCGGACCATGCATGTGTGTCCCATATTTGACACTGTTGAAGGCATTTGGCCTTAGGGCCTTGATTTGATTGTGCTGGCCCTTTGCCGTAGAATGACTCAGTGCTTTAGAAATGTTTCCTGCCATGAAGGCCTGCTTATATCTGTCACAGATGCAATGATGAAGGCCTTGCAAGTTGTAGTATATTTACATGTGCCGTAGTAGGAGTATGGGCCATGAAGTTTTGGTAATGGGTTCGTTTTTACCTGCTTGCTTTTGAAGGCATATGTGCTCTAAGGATCTCCAACCGAGATTCAATGGGTGGTAAATTGGCATCATCTGGAGAAATATGAAGCATCATTGCCTCAAGGCTATTATGATAACTTTGAATACCTAGGACAAGGCCTGGGCAATCAGAAGATAAGAACTATATCAACTATATCGCCTTATGTTTTGAAAAGAAAAAGGTTAAAATGTAAAACGAACAATGGCATGTGATTAACAAAAGATAGTTCAAAAAGTCCACCTACTTATTTAGTCTTCTTTGTGGCAAAGCATATCTTAGAAGAATTTTGGTGACTTCTATCAATGTTGAATATACCCATTCTCTATCATCCATTTTAGGCTTCAATGCCTATTTACGTTGTTCAACATCAATTTAAAGCATTTAAATGAGGTGCCACCATAAACATCCAAGTGGGCCTTTGCAGATATTTTATAATTTGCCTTTGATGCTTCCTTAACTGCCCACTAAAGAAATCATTTTCTCGGAAATGTTCTTCTCCAGAAAGGAGTGTTACATACTTTGTACTGACCATAGACTCAGGAAAATAATAAGATTTTATGCTAACAGTTACCTATGAAAGTGGGTGGACCATTTAGCCATCGTTACCATAATCTCTAACCCAAGGTCGTGATTCCGACAAGGAATCTTCATGGAATCTGTTTATGTGAAGGCAGTAATCTCGATTCCAACACTCATAGTTTCTAATATTTATTGATTCGCGATTCCACAATTGTTGAATCTCGATTCTACATTTGCTGAATCTGGATTCCACACATGATGAGAGCTTCATCAAATTAGAAACACAAACATAGGGCCATGAACTCCAAAAATAAATAAATCAAGAACCTATGAGAAGCATTAAATTAGAAATTCGATTCGAAAGATATCGGAATCTCAATTCCATATATGAAGGAATCTTGATTCCATATGGGGTCTATTCCAAATAGATCAGAAACTCAATTTCAAAGAGGACTGAATCTCGATTCCATTTATGTAGAGATCTCAATTCCATTCAGACTGAATCTCTATTCCTATACAGTAGAAATCTTGTTTCTCGCAATTCCCTTTATACAGATGTTGATTCCGAAAACATGAATCTTCTAACCAGCCGTGATTCTGATTCCTAAAACGATTCAGAATCTCAAGCATTTCCAACAAGGCAACAACTAAAATTTTGGCTATATTGTTGAGTTGCTGAGACATCTAAAGTCCATATTTTGCTGCATTGTCATAGAATCAAACATACTGTTACAAAGATTGTAGTAATGCATGTATATAAAATCATTTGTTAGGCCTTTGGTTAAACTTCTGCTGGACCCAGCCGATCTGATGTTAAGACATGAGTTGTGGACGCATGTTTCCTTACGGCTTTGCAAACAGCTTTGTAGCATTTGGTTCGAAGAATCTTGGCAAACTCTTGTAGCTAGATGTTTCCACTGCAACAAGGCTTCTTCTATTCACAAGAAATAGGAACTCTTAATTAGTAGAGGGGGGCCAGAGGTCTGATATTTAATGATTGGTTACTCATGTAATGCACAAAAAGTTTTATTTAGGTGAAACTTCCAAGTAGCCTGTATGCTTGAATTCTTGAAAGATATTATAAACCTAGAAGAATGAAACAGATTGGTGCTCAATTACTAGGATGTTGTGGGCCAGACTCTTTATCATGCCACTAGGTTTAAGCTTGATTTTTAAGATCATGAAATAAAAAGAATACAAAAAAAAAGGAGATAATGAAGGGAATCATATGTACCTTCTCTGGTTTTCAAAATTCTTAAATCTCTTGATATCTCTATCTCAAAATGGATTTCTTTTCTTCCATATAGATCATATCATATTTGTTTAGTTCTAAAAATAGTTATATGTTATATTTTAAAATACAATTCTCTTAAGATTTTCAAAGAGTGTCGTGCTTATTTTTCTCACCCATTTCACGAATGTGCATTAGTTTTGACAATGGCCCTCACACTATTTTTTTCGACGTGACAAATCAACACCCTATAACTAAATAGATTTTACAAATTATAATATATTGTCCAGAATGTAATAATTCCTCTTTTTACAGCCTTTTTGCAAATAATACAATTTAAATACAATTATATTAGTTGATAAATTCATTCTCACAGATAAAAATCTATTATCTAAGATACAAATTATTGTGTCCTATTATATGAAAATAATTAATGCAAATAAATTCTTTCCTTTTCCTGCAAACAATATGATTGAGAAAATTTTATATAGTAGTGCATATTTCTTTTTAATTACCAAAAATAAGATAATGTGGATGATAGTTGTAAATAATTAATGCAAATAAATTCTTTCTTTTTCCTGCAAACAATATGATTGAGAAATTTTCATATAGTAGTACATATTTATTTTTAATTACAAAAAATAATATAATGTGGATGATAGTTGTGTATAGTTTAACAAAACTAAGAAGTAATATAATTGAAAAATATAAAAAGTAAAATAAAAATAATTAATATCTAATATCACGTACAGTGCATGTGCATAATACTAGTTCAAATAAAAGTGTTTAAGAAAGGTGGCGCGATTGTTGTGCAGAATTGAGATGGTCTCTTGCATAATAGAGATGGCTTTACTTTTGCTTTGTGGAAATCAGGGTCTTGCCATTACATTGTACTGATTCCCATATAATTGAAGAAGATGCCCTATTTATTGTATTTTTTTTCTTATTTTCTTTGTCTTGCTCTAATTTCTAATCATTCCATTCATAAAATAAATTGCTACTTCTTTTCCCTTGATGGTTGAATTGGTTCTCTTCTCATAGGTTTCTTATGAGCTGGGTTTAGTTCTGTTCTCATAGGTTTCTTATGATCTGGGTTTAGTTCTGTTCTAACTTCCAAGTATCGAAAGGAAACGTAGGTTTACTGAAACCCTAGAGAGTGGTGGTGGCAGCAGCATACTGCTATCACTGAGAGAGAGTGTTTTTTTTTTGGGGGTGGTGTTGGAGGGGGGGGGGGGGGGGAGAGCGATTATTGGGGAGTAAATTCTGGCTCCCACTGCAAATTCCTGTGCAAGAAGGACCAAAGTGGTGAGTGGAGAAACAAGAAAATGAGTAGCCTGCCTAGGCGATCGTGGAGTCACTGAATGAAGTCCTCCGTTTCTTTCGGAGTTTCTGACCCGCAGCGGGGCAGGGGTTTTGCTCTTCAAGACATAAAAAAAAATAAAATAATTTTCGCTCTTCCTGTATTTTTTCTTATTGTTGAAAGAATTAAGGTATTCTGGACTTTTGAATTCTTTAAGGGCCTATTTGGGTACCTGGAGAAGCTTGTCCTGGGAATAGGTTTCTCCTGGAATTGGGTTATCCTGGAATTGGTTGTCCTTGGGATAGGGGTGTCTGCTGTTTGGATAGCACCTGATAAGAAACATGGAATATGCCTGTCCACTGTTTGGATTGCCTGAACGATATGAATCCATGGATATTCAGTTGCAGTTTTTATATTTTTACCCAACATTTAATTTTATATTGATGAACTTCTTCCATTGATTCCAAACTTCAATATTATTTCTTAACTAAGATGAAATCCTTATTTTTTTCTTATTCATTTCCATTGTATCCATATGTATAGATATCTTGCATTCCAGAGATTGTATTAGGGTACGTTTGGTTCGTGCAATAATAATTAATATATAATATATAAATAATATATTATTTTATATTATGCTATAGTATATAATATTAGAGGAAATATATAATATTATAGTATAACACATAAATATATTATACATGGTATATAAATATATACATATATAATATTATATAATAAATATATAAAGTATATGTTATATATCTAGTATAATTTGTATGATACTATATTTTATTATATGTATTATATATTTATATTTATTTTATTAATGATATATGTAATATATGATATTTATATACTATATATATATATTATATTATATTATATAATATATATATATTATTTGTATCATATAATAGCATATATTATATTATAAAAATATTATATTATATTGTATAACAAAACACTTTCTCCTTAAGGGATGAAGAAATGTACATTAATAAAATAAATATAAAATACATTATATTACATATTATATTATGGTATTTATTACATATTTATATATTTATGTTATTTATATATATATTGTTATAGATAATATAATATTTAAGTAAGATTCTTTGTGATTCGCGGACCTCAATGTTCTAAATTAATTTGAATGAATTGTAAAATTTCGGGTCCAACGTGGATTGGCCAATCCAAAAAATCGTGGATAGCCCTATTAATAGTATTATCCATGTGTTTGGCCCAAAAATGTGGATTGGCCACTCTCCTGGATTCAGCTATCCATGTGTGAATCTGTTACCCAAACAAGGGATAAGGGCCCAATACCTGGATTGCTTATCTTGGAGAGTCCAATCCAGGTACCCAAGCAGGCCCTAGGAAATTAATTTAATTAATCCCAACAAGTTTTATAATTGAATATTGCTGGACAAGCATTATAAGATGGCTGTTATGGATAGTTCTATGATAAGTCTTTGGAAAGGATTTAAGGGAAAAAACCTGTTGGGGGCTTGGGTGATGAGATTTACATGTGAATTTGATATGTGCCTGAAAGCAATTGGACAATTGCCCAAAACAAATCCCAAAGATGGTTAGGAAGCTAAGTCTTAGATATGCCAACAGGTCTGTTGAAGGAAAACTGGGAAATGTGTGAATCGCTGTGTAAGTTTTTTGATGAAATCAGAAGGGAAAAGATTTTTAGGTCGATGGGTCTATTCTGTAGCCTAGGCCTAAGGGCCTTAGAAGGGTTTGTTTGACCCCAAGATTTACAGGTCATCTCTATACGTCCTAGCTATCACTCTCTAAAACGACGACGACGACCAAAAGAAAAACAGCAACAGCAGGAATAATAATTGCAATTGCACCCTTAATGGATCTATAATTAATTCTGCTCCACAATGGATGCAGTGTACATTTGATGGACAGTCAGATCTAGGTTTTTAAGTGCTCAAAATTCATCTTTTTTTCTGAAATTTTCATCTGGTGATTCAAAGATGATGTGCAAAAACTTCATAATAATAAACTACCCCTAACGATGTGTTTTAGTCCTTGGCCTACAGTTGTAGCTATAGGCCCATAGGCCTATTTTATCTTTTTCGAAATCAGAAATGTTATGAGCAGTTTGTACATGTAATAAATACTAGCAAGTGTTCTTTGGCTTGTGGCAGTTGCCATACAAACATTGATGGCTACATTCTTTAAGGCTGGTGAGGGGCCTCAGTCATGTTCGCATCTTAGAAACCTTTCGCAAGCCTTTTTGAATGTTATTCGATAGGCTCAGAAAGAAAGTTTGTTGATGCAATTGAGGATTTCTTTGATTTGCATGAAGGGAGAGTGGTCTATTTTTGTCATGATTGTAGAATGTACAATGAGTTAGCAAATGTTATGTGTTGGCTTGCCTTGGGTGCCAATATAAGGACATCTTTGCACCTACTAACATTAGCCAAATATGCCACTGATTATTTCTGTTTCCTCAGCTTTTTGTCCTCTCTCTCAACCAAATCTGTTTGTGTTTCCATTTGTATGTTTCTTTGGAGTAACTATGTGTTGAAGTTTTCTCACCTAGTTATTAAGAACGTCATTTTCACTCCTTGTTTGGATTTTTGTAATTTTGTATGTGTCCCTGTTGGGATGTCTTGCCCGCTTCTCGTTCCTATATGTGTTCTTTCCCCAAAAGCTTGTGGAGGTTATGCAATTTTTTGTTTTCTTTCAAGGTATCAGAGCAGGGTCACAGATCTTCTCAGCGCAATCATAATCAATCAAGGTAACCCATAATCTCTTTTTTCCTTCACTTATTTCTCCCTCGCTCTTATCCCTGCTTCTCGTATTTCTTCAAAACGACAACTAATGTGTCTCGATCATCTCCTTTCCTGATATTTTCTCACCATTTAAATCCTATCCTGAAAACCCTAATCGATCTGCCTAGACCCTAATATCTAATCTTCTAAAAGACCCTAACCTTAAGTCCTCTCGTAAAGCAACCCTGATAAAAAATAGTATAACTACTCTCTAATTTGATTCTTCACTTTGCCCTTATTTCTTGCAGCGGTCTTAACCCTAATCCACATCTATTTCTTAGAGAGTTGATATTTGTAAGTTGATTTTATTTCTGTCCTAAAAGAGAAGGAGAGACTAAAATCAAGCATATCTCTATTTTTCCTCTCAAAATGAATCTTCTTCCTCCAAAAATCCTAATAAAAAATGAAACGTGAGCCTGTTACCACTTTTTTTTTGGTTAAAAGAGGAGAAAATGTTTTGATTGGTTGGAGCTTTTTGGGATTGGAAGACCCAAGTTACACCAATTTAGCCTCCCACATTTGTTACGGGAGCATTGATTCTGCAATATGGAAGTGCGGCATTCCATATTCCCCTTAAAATGCCTCCTTTTTAGGAAACCATGGATTTCATGTTGCGCCGTCTATGATTTTTGGGAGAGGGGGCTTTGGCAGCCCTCACTTCCCCAGTCAAACATGCTCTAAAAGAAAGTGACCCCTGATACCTATGAAGAATCAAAGAAGGACAGGAGAAGGACAAAGTATGAATGAAGAGATGAAAGCATTGTACAAATGTGGGCATAGATGGTTGTGTTAAGACCAACAGAAAAGAATGTGTAGGAAGTAAATGGGTTTACAAAATTAAATTTAAACCAGATGGAAGTGTTGACAGATATGAAGGTAAACTTGTTGCTAAAGATTACGATGAAATCCTTAGCCCTGCTGTCTTTAGCTCTTGCATTTGTTTGAGAACAAACACAGATGGATGTCAAGAATGCATTTTGACATGGAGACCTTAGAGAATAAGTCTACATCGATCAGCCTCCAAGATTTGCTGAAGGAGACCCTAGCCTCATGGTTTGCAAGTTGAACGGGGCAATGGTCTAAAGCAGGATTCAAGAGCCTGGTTCGGTAACTTTGCGAGTTGTGAAGAAGCATGGTTTCATCAAGAGCACAGCTGATCACTCGTTGTTCATTAAGACGGAGATAATTACATTGCAATACGTATTTTTTATGTAGATGAAATTGTATTCACAGGAAGGTGCAATGAAAGCAATCTCAAAATTAAAGTGGGTTCTTTCAGAAGCTTTCAAATGAAGGACCTTGGAAGGTTGCAATATTTTTCTTAGGATTGAGGTTGAAAGAAAGCCAGATAGGTTGACATTGGGCCATCATAAATGCACGATCAATTTGTTAAAAAGGACGAATATGCTTGATGCCAAGCCAATAGCTGCACCTGCTGTGTTGAACGAAAGACTTTCGAGATAATGAAGATTTTGGAAGCTTTATTGCGAATGCACATGACCATCACAACATGGTGGGAGCTTTGCAGTATCGAATTTTTACAAAACTGATATAACTTATGCAGTCAATCAGGTTAGTCTGTTCATGCACTGTCCGATGTCTGAACACATGGAAGCAATTAAGAGAAGATTGAATATATAAGGGAAACTATCTAAACTATACCTTAATTTTTGGATTATTGGAAATAAACCTCAAACTTTTTAAAGTCCTCATCCATACACCTTTTCTTCAGTTTTTTGCTTTTTTTTTTACCAAAATAGCTTTCACGGTGGTCATAGAACCGTGAAGACATCACGGTAGACTCACTACCGTGATGGTCATGAGCGGTTTAATGTTTTGAGGCATCACAGCCCTTAAACAGCCGTGATGGTCGTTAAGAGGCATCATGACACCTAAATAGCTGTAATGGTTGGTAAGGCATCACAACACTTAAAAAGCTGTGATACTTAGATAAGAGTATAACAGTTAAATTAGAACCGTGATGGTCCAATAAACCATAATGGTTCTTTAAGTCCCGTGATGCTTCAAAACTTCATTTGACTTACAACCCGCTATGACCATCCGGGTTTTCAAAAGACTGTGATGCCTTCATGGTTCTAAGACTACCGTGAAGGCTACTTTCGTCTACTCACCCAAAAAGGGGTATGGATGAGGTTTTGAAAAGTTTAGGGTTTATTTTCAATAATCCAAAAATTAAGGTATATTTTTTATAATTTCCCAATATATAAAGGCAACATCAAATGATGGAATGTAGATTAAAAAAAATAATAATCAAATGATGGGCTAGTGTATTGGAAAATTAATCCACAGACGATTAATCCTTTTGCTATTTTTGCCTTTCAGATCCCAATTGGGCAGGAGATTGCCCTATAAGAAGATCAGTTACTGGGAATCGTGTATTTGTTGGGAACAACTTGGTCTCTTGGTACGGTAGAAAGCAACATACTGTGGCTAGATCAAGTTCGGAAGCAGAATGTAGAGCTATGGCACTTGTAACTGCTGAAATGAATTGGATTAGGAGAATTGCAACTGCCCTTAGTTAAACATTGTGCAGCAACATTCTCTGCTATGACAATCAAAGTGCACTGGCCATAGCGATGAGTCCAGTATTGTATGGTACAACAAACATGTTTAGGTTGATCATCATTTTATTAGAGAAAAGATTGAGATAAGGAGATTGAAGGAAGATTAATCAGAACTAAGGATCAAGTTGCCGACATATATACTGAAGTGCTCACTAAAGAACGGCAAAGAGGCTTGAAGAGCAAGCTGTCCATGATCCGGACTGATGTACATCTTGAGGGTGAATATTACGAATGCCATTTACATCCCTTGAGCAGGCTACTATAATTTTTTATATTTTTAGTGGTTGATTTTTACAATTCTGTAACTTCTGTAAATATATCTAGGGCATTACTAGAAGTTCATTTAAAAAACCAAAGTATGTTAACTCTTATATAATGAAATATCATGAATCTGTGTTCCTATTGCAACATCTTTCTCACTTCTCTGTCCTCTTCGTTCCTTCCCCCAAAGCTTGTGGAGGCTTTGTTATTTATTGTTTTTTTTCACTGGTTGCATGTAAATTTCTAAAACAAACAACGTAGTGTATAGAAGACTTCATGTTTTGCTGGCTTTTAGGCTGTGGCCTTGACTACTATATCCTTTCTGTTTCTTTCAAGTTACATGGTTCCTTTCCCATGAATTTGTTTGATATTACTCTTCATTATCTCCTTTTGTTTGCTTCCTCAATGGTTGACATGGTTTTTCTGAACGTAGAATACTTGTTTCATATATATTCACTCCCAAGAATTGATTGATTTTCTTGTGGCCTTATATGCCTATGATATTTGACATTTCAACCTCATATGAAGGAGATTATGGTTTGTGATCTTTTAAGTGTCTCGAATCTTGGGTTGTTTGCTCCTCCACTTTAGAATTCTCCAGGTTTTACTCATTCTTTTCATTCACCATTATTTTATTATTTTACAGCTATGGCTTTTAGTAGCGATAAAAAGATGTGATAGTGTGCGGTTTAAAAACATACTTCCTTCCTGGCAGAGTATGTGTGGGGGGCATATTGTACATCATTGTTGCTCCTGATTTAATGCTCGGCTTTGAGAGGAGCCATTCATACACATATTCATACATGTTCTTTTAGAGCTGATCCCACTTTAGCGCATTGGCTTTTATAGGTGTAGCCATGTGTACTCACAGATGTGCATACCTATGAATTCAGATGCTCTTTGTTACGATTCTTTTTGCATGTCTCCATCATGAGCAATTGTACAAAGCATATGAAAATCGGGGAACTTGCTTGTTCTTTTATATTGTTTGAGAAATGAATGAGAATCGCCATTTATGCACCCTGTTGCTTGAATGAGGTGTTCCTTCTGCTATGGTAAATGGTGTTTTTATAGTTCTTATTCTGTTTTTATTTGGGTTTTATGCCATTATTGAGAAAATTTATCGAGTTCATGTTCAAGATGAATAATATTGGCAAGAGAGTGGGATAGTAGTATACAAGGAATGTTCCCATGATTCCTTTTGTGTCTCAAAGTGTCGTTAATCCCCATGCAGGGCACTGTGGTGCCCCTCTCCATGATGGTTCTTCTGGGTTTCATCTTTCTACCACAAAGTCACTCAACCACCTACCTTTCTTCTAAACCCTCCCTCCATAGCAGCTCGGGCTTGGTTCTCCCTTGTGCCACCTAAAATTCAGTTCTTCACCTATTTGTCCCTTCACCAAAGAGCTTTAACTGTCGATCTCCTTCAGATAAGAGGCCTCCTCATCCTCCTCCGGTGCATGATGTGTCTCGAGGTGGAGGAGACAAATGTGCACCTCTTTATACACTGCCCACTCGCCTATTCTCTTTGGAATCTCCTTCTCAATCTTTTCCACTGGTTTTGGGTGACACCACAATCTATACCTCAGCTCTTCTCTTCCTTTCATCTTTTACCCTTGGGTGAAGTCAGGTCACCTTCTCTGGAAGGCTTGAATTTTTGGGCTTCTCTGGACTGTCTGGACTAGCGAAACAATCGGATCTTCCAAGGTCTATACAAGTCCCCTGAAGTTCTCTTTGAAAAGATCAAGTCCCTTGTCTCATTTTGGGCATCCAACCACAAAGTCTTCAAAGGTGTTCACCAGTCGGCATTCCAGCTCAATTGGCAGCCCCTCTTCCACCTCTCGTAGGCCAGGGTTTCCCGGTCTTCCTTTGATCTCCCCCTAGCTTGGGGACCATCAAGTTCAACTTTGATGGGTGTTCCCTGGGTAATCCTGGCCAGGCAGGCATCGGTGGCCTTTTTCGGAGCAATGAGGGCCATATCCTAGCCTCTTTCTCCAAATCTATCAGACACTCCGATGCCCAATCAGCAGAAGCTCTTGCCCATCTTGAAGGCCTTGGACTCTATGCCCACAGATGGCCTCTACCTCTCATTGCAGACGGAGACACTCAATGTAATCTGCTGGGCCTCTGCAGTCACCCCCTATTCATGAACCCTAGCTCATATTTTTGAAGAAATCCCCCATTTTTGTTCAGGGATTTCGATCTCATGGAGTCATATTTGGCACGAGATTAGTTCTCAAGCGGATGGTCTTGCTAAAGAAGGAGCCTGTAATCCCTTGACCGAGTAGAAAAAGGACAGTTGCTTTCCTCTTAGGAGTCCAAGCTTTTAAAGTGTTTGTCTGGGTTCCCTTAGGGGGGCTTTTCTCTTGTAACATTGTGATTATAGTAATACAATGTCAGCATTCTCAAAAAAAAAAAAAAATTTACTTCTTGGTTGCTAAACTCCCTGAATTAGGTTTTAATTTCCAATGCTTCTTGAGTTTGTGTTCAAATATCATGGGAGAGATTTATTGGTTTGGTCATCAGTGTTTGTGTATGCGCTTTTTTGGAATTTCCCATGATTCCTTTGCTGTTCTGTAGAACGAGAAGCTAGACCTGGTTGACCTATTTCGAATATGTTGATTAAAGCTCTACAGTTCCTGAAATTGTGCTGGGATTAAGTGACGTGACTTCATGAATCTGGTTCTTCTTCATGTTTATGGTAAACTATAATCCTCAATCTTCTATGGTTTTGGTTCATTCCATTCTGCTCAGGTAGCTTGTCTTCATAAATTATACAGTCTTGAGTTACACCAACCAATAAAAAACACTCAGATATAGCTCTAGTCTCCAACCCCTTGCTTTGCCAAATCATCTGCTTCCTTAATCGCTTCTCTGTAAACATGCTTAAAAGAAGCCATTAAGCCCTCAAATATGGGCATGATCTCAAACCACAGAGATCTTAATTTCCAAGGAACCCGTTGTTCTTTTGTGCACCACCACTTGGTAGCATTCATGAATTCCCCTCCAATAAATTGGGTTATTCATCTTTCTTTAATAATTTTCTGTCCATTTAAAAGTTAGTCTAACAATGTCAAATCTATTAATTAAGACGTACAATTTAGAAATATCCTAACATTCCCACGCAGTAAGCACTCAGACTGACATAGTCTCCATAATCCTACTCTCCAACTTGTCTATTTCCATAACACTCCCCCTAAAGATTCTTTTATCTCTCTTTTCCAAGTTTCCCGTAATATTGCAGCTCTAATCCATACTATCCTTCTGATCTTAGATAACAATGGCAAATTGAAATGATTGATGTTTGTAGCCGATCTCGAGCATCAAAGGTAGAAATCCTACTTCCCTAATGCCCAAATCCATAGATCATAAGTAACTAGTGCAATGTAGAAGCAAATGGTCTAGAGGTGGCAATGGGTCGGGTCGGTTCGAGTCTGGTCTAGGTTCGGCCAGGACCTGGACCCAAAAAAAAAATTATGGGACCCGAGCCCAAACCCCCGACCCATTCTCCAGAGGATAGGGCTAGCAATACTAACCAGCTCTCTCTCTCTCTCTCTCTCTCTCTCTCTCTCTCACTCAGCGTAACTCGATGTTATCAATCTTCCCTATTTGAGCTGGTAGGGAGATGGTTGAGACCAGCTCTTTAACAAGGTTATTGGATTAGCAGGGAGAGGCATGGTGGGTTGAGACCAGCTCTTCACCTGTTACATGTTTACTAGATTAAATGTCCATGGTGCACATTTCTATTATTATTGTGGTGATGAATAAAATGTATTAATAGGGCTTTTTACTGAAATGAATTGTATACTATGAGACCTTCTACTTTATAAGGATGTCACAAATACTTGTAGTCATCTCATCTCAAATTGGACATCTTGAGTTGTGTCATAAAGTTTGAGAAATTTTTCTTGAATATTGAACCTTGTCAATGACACACTTATAACCACCTGATTTGAAATCTAATGGACACGAGCCATTGTGACCTCCTTGTACTAAATGCAAATTAAATTTTTTTTAAGTAGTTGAGATCTCTTTTATGTATACATTTATCCAAAATATATTTTCTCTTAAGTTTGAATAAAGATAAATTGCTTATCGAAGGGCCCGTTTGGGCACATGGATTTCAAGGATGGATTTTTAATATTTTGAATATTTTTAAAATCCCCTCTTTGGTTTTCTTAATGATTAGGATATTAAAATTGAGTATTGACACTATGAGATCCTCCCACACCCATTTGAGTAGGATCCCAAAGGATCACTATTAAATTTTGACACAGATATCTAGAAAAATTATCACATGGTAGGTATGACCATTTTAGAGATAGAAAGTACTTAAAAGTTTTTAAAGAGAGAAACTATCTCAAATTTTAACTTTAGGAGAGAGAAAATATGTTAATTTTTTGGAGAGAAAAACTAATATCAAATTTTAAAGAGAGAAAAGCACCTAAATTTTTTTAGAGAGGTAAGTTATCTCAAAATTTTTAAAGAGAAATTATCTTAAATCTTGAGTTTTAGAGAGATAAACTATATCAAATTTTAGAGAGAGAATACATGAAACTTTTTAGAGAAAGAAACTATCTCAAATTTTTAGAGAGAGCTTATCTCAAATTTAAAGTTTTTAAGAGAGCATCCTAAAATTTAAGAGAGAGAAACTATATCAAATTTTAGAGAGTGCTTGAAAATTTTTAGAGATAGAAACTATCTCAATTTTTTTTAGAGAGAAAATTTTCTAAATCTTAAGTTTTAGAGAGAGAAACTATATTAAAATTTTAGATATAAAAATTATATCAAGTTTTAGAGATAGAAACCGCCTCAAAATTTATTAAAAGAGAAACTAGCCCAAAATTTTTAGAGCTATCTCAAATTTTAAGTTTTAGAGAGATAGTATCTTAAAATTTTAGAGAGAGAATGTACCCGAAATTTTTAGATAAAGAAACTATATCAAAATTTAGAGAAAGTACCCAAATTTATTTTGAAAAATTGTTTCGTTGGACGGCAATTCTACAATATGCAGTCCAGAGGTACAAAGCATCCATCTTAAAAATGGATGCAAATAGATGGTCCATCAAAAACATGTGTAACCAACGGTCCAAATGTTTTACTAATATAATTATTATTTTTAATTTTCATTTCTCTTTGCTTTT